TGTCCTACCTCCCACTGTTGGTTTTCATTGTTATTTTCCATTTCCTCTTCCTGTAATGTTTTGCCAAGGATGTTTTGAAGAGATGGTTTTCTAGCTGCAAATTCTTTTAACTTTTGTTTATCGTGGAAGGTTTTAATTTCATCTTCCATCCTGAAGCTTAATTTCGCTGGATACACAATTCTTGGTTGGAACCCATTTTCTTTCAGTTTTTCAAATATGTTATTCCAGGATCTTCTAGCTTTCAGAGTCTGTGTTGAAAGATCAGCTGTTATCCTGATTGGCTTACCCCTAAATGTAATCTGCTTCATTTCTATTGTAGCTTTTAAAATTCTCTCCTTATTCTGTATGTTGGGCATCTTCATTATAATGTGTCTGGGTGTGGATCTCTTATGATTTTGCACATTCGGCGTCCTGCAGGCTTCTAGGATTTGGGATTCTGTCTCATTCTTCAAGTCTGGGAAGTTTTCTCGTATTATTTCATTGAATAGATGGCTCATTCCTTTGGTTTGGACCTCTATACCTTCCTGTATCCCAATGACTCTTATGTTTGGTCTCTTTATGTTATCCCATATTTCTTGGATGTTCTGCTCATGGTTTTTTAACAGTCTTGCTGAGCTCTCTATGTTCTTTTCAAGTTGAAATACTTTGTCTTCATTGTCTGATGTTCTATCTTCTAAGTGTTCTACTCTTTTGGTAGTATTCTCAATTGTGTTTTTAAGTTGGTTTATCGCTTCCTGCATTTCTAGGATTTCTGTTTGTTTGTTTTTTATAACCTCTATCTCCCTGTATAGTTGATCTTTTGCTTCCTGGATTTGTTTATGTAATTCATTGTCAAAGTAATCTTTCATTGTCTGATTTTTCTGTCTAATGTCTTCCTTGAGACTCCAGATTATCTGAAGCATGTATATCCTGAATTTTTTATCTGACATTCCATCTGCTGCAGCTATTACCTCTTCTAAAGTTGAGTTGACCTGAATTGCTTGTGGTCCTTTCTTTCCTTGTCTTTTCATACTGCTCGTGTTTCTTTCTGCTTGGTGAAACTGTTGTGTTTTTGAAATTTTCCCCCTATATATTTATAATGCTCTTGTATAGTTGAAAATTCTCCCTTGCAGGGTCGGGCGGTGGCTGTGCTCCTCCAATTGGGGTCATCTGTCCTCCATGCTGACGGGCCGCTGGGCCTGTTCTGGTCGGTCGCAGGTCTGCCTACCTTGCAGGCGCGGGTGGTGGTTCTGCTCTGCCCTTACTCCAATTGGGGTGATGTGTCTACCACACCGGTGGGCCGCTGGGCTTGTTCCAAGTGCGGGAGGCGGCTCTGCTCTGCCCCTACTCCAATTGGGGTGACGTGTCTACCATGCCGGCAGGCCGCTGGGCCTCTTCCGCCGATCGGTCGCTGGTATGCCTACCTTGCGGGCGTGGGTGGCGGCTCCGCTCAGCCCCTACTCCAATTGGGGTGTCGTGACTACCACGTCAGCAGGTCGCTGGGCCTGTTCCGGGCGCGGGCGGTGGCTCTGTTCTGCCCCTCTGGCTTGATGACAATGTGAGAGAGACTCGGGTGTTTGTGACTCACTTTCTTTACCAGGAGACCAACTGTTTCTGTTGCCGCTGGTATTGATGAAGTTCTCTCCTCTGCCGCTTTCTGATGACATCAGATCTCTGCCATGTTGGTATCCCATGCGAATGTCAGCATTTCGTTCTCTGCCGGGTGACCAAAGCAACGGGTGAGTCCTGACCGGCCCTCACATGCCCCATCTCAATCCTGTTGCCACTGCCTATGAAGGCTCGGTTGGTATTTACCTCCACAGTATTCAGCAGGACCCGGACTGAGAAGCAGTTTCTGCCGTTTCTTTAGCCCTGGGCCAGAGCAGTTCTGGGAGCCGGAATTCGGCCGCTCCAGGCTTGGTGTATGTTCTGATAGGAGCAGGCTCCAAGAAGCAGTTTCCATGGGTTCTTTAGCACTGAGCCTGAGTAATTTGTCTGCGAGACGCAGGCGAATGTCAGCCTGAAATTACCTCTTCTATGGCTGAATGAGCTGCGATCAGTCGAAAACAGGGATGGTGACGTCAGCTCTCCAAGATGGTGGTCGCTGGCTTCCTCTGTGGTCTGACCGTTGTGGAGAACCGAATTGGACCGCTTCCTTCCCCCATCTCAAACCCAGAATTCAGCACTGAGCATGGTGATTGTACAGCTGGCAGAAGCCCGCAGAATCCGCAGTGCTGTATCTTTGAGTTGCTATCTCGTCGTTTCCCAGCGTGTGCCGCAGACTCTAGCCGCGGGGCGATTTGCTGAATAAGCAGAGTGACCCTCCGTGTGGACAAATCTCTCACGTTTGAGTCCACGTAGCTGATCCTCGTGCAATGGAAATCCTTCCTCTAGGTTTTGGAGCACCCCAATTTTGCTGGAAATTCCTAACAAGATAGCTTTTAGCCGTTCTAACTCATCATTCTCCCGCACAGTGACACGGTACACGGGGGCAATGCACTCCCTTCGCCGCCATCTTCCCGAGTCTCCATTCTACTCTTGATTGGCATTTAGCTGATTCAGTTTGCAGTTATCACAGACAATGCTGTGTGGTCCCTGCACATGGGGATCTGTGCACATCTGCTTGTGCTCTGAGTGGAAGGCCTCGATCACAGATATGTGCATGGTCAGGGCACGTCTCCAACTCAGGTACCACTTCACATTTCCAAACACATGAGCATGTTCTAGATCAATTCCCAGGCTGTTTGATGCTATTTATGGTTCAGTTTATGGTCTTTCTGTTGAAGGTTTCTGGTGGTTTTTTACAACGTTCACTCTCTGATAATTGATGTAGATCTGACTTTATACACCAGGTGACTGCATATGAGGCTGATAGAGAATACTTACTATGAAAAGGTCTTGTCCACAGTTTTTGTAGTGTCATCTCTGTCATAAAAACTGTCTTCATTTTTCTGTCTCTGAACACCAATTCTGTTCCCCTGGGCATCTTGGCTGAGCTCACTCAGCACCAGGTTCCTGTATATCACAGGGTAAGAACTCATCATGGTGCTTCTCCTGATTGGCCTCCTTTCTCTTCTCACCATTGGTGGGTGGAGTACTACTGCACTGAGTAGTGCACACACCTTCAAAGACACCAATTCAAGGTTGAGTGCTGGGGCTGACAAGGAGAAAGAAACAGGGTGCAGAGGAACTTCTCCAGGCCTAGAAAGACCCCCTCAGTAGCCCAGGGATCCTGGCTGCCCCTTAGCAGTGCCCTCAGCAGGTGGAGGCAGCAGGAGGAGCAGCTGGGACAGCCCAGCCTCACACTTCTGCTCCCTGGGAGGTTTTTGTCATGACCTATATCACTGTGGGAGGGTAACTGTTACCTTGTTGACAGTAATAAGTGGCAACATCTTCAGGCTCCAGGCTGCTGATGGTGAGACAATACTCTGTCCCAGATCCACTGCCACTGAACCTCGAGGGGACCCCAGAGTGCAAACGGTTGGCACCATAGATCAGGAGCTTAGGAGCTTGCCCTGGTTTCTGCTGGTACCAGCTTAAGTAATTGTTAATGCCCTGACTGGCCTGGCACCTGATGGTGACTGTTTCTCCTTGAGATTTAGACAGGGAGGCTGGAGACTGGGTCATTATAATGTCACATTTGGCACCTACAATTGAACAGATGAGAAGAAATATGCACACAATTAATAATGTCATAAGAGGATTTCCCTGAACACCAGGCAGCACTGATGAAAGTGGTCTGAGCACATCCTCAGTGTGTCCTCCTTACCTGTGAGGCAGAGCAGCAGGAGCCCCAGGAGCTGAGCAGGAGCCCTCATGGCCATGCTGTGTCCTGATAGGGACTGACTCCTGCACAGGGTGTGAGCAGCCTCTTAAGAAGTCCTCAGGGCAGTGGGCTGTGCTATGGGCACATGCAAATCAGCAGGGCTGGGCAGGCTGGGCACAGCTGCAGGGAGGCTCCTCTAAGGCCTGGCCAAGTGTCTCCAGGTGTTGCACCATACGCCAGGCAGCCCAGATTTGCCTACAGAAAATGTATTTCCTGAGAGGCACAGGAGAGAACCATCCATTGTTCCTGTGAGCAGAGAGACCTCTTGGTCTCATCAAGGTTCAGGAAACACTTCTCCTGCTCACTCTCCAACCAAGACAAGGTTCATGAGCTCTTTCACAGCCCCACACACCCCACACCCTGCAGGAAAATCACTGACCTCATCCTTTTTATACCTGAGCACAATATTTATTCGAGAGAGGCTTCCTCTATACCTGACTCTTTGAAGACCTGGGCATGAAAAATCATCAGTGTTACTAGCCAGAAATGCAAAGGGCGGTAAGAGGAAGCAACAGAAAGGGACACAACACACCAAGTACAGGCACCGAGGTTGGTAAGGAAGGGAAGGATGTTGACCGTATGCCACTGCTGTCCCTTCATCCTGGTATACTGGACCAGTTGCTCCTCTGCCCTGAGTCTACCCTGTATCCTAACCTGTCTTTATTCTGTCACCAAATCTCACCCAGGTCCTAAGAGAATACTGTCCCAGAGGCTGGAGCAAGGCTCGGGCACATGCTTGGTGAGGAGAAAGGTGGGTCAGAGAACTGGGCTGGAAGACCCTCCAGGCTACTGGAGCAAAAGAGGACACCTGGGTGTTGGAGGGGACACTGAAGCAAGGGGAGGAGGGTGTTCTCTCATGCAGATGGTGTTAGTGCAGGCCCCTGTCCAGGTCAAATGTGGAGCACAGTGAGGAGGACACATTGCAGTGTGGCCCCAGTGTGCAGGTGAGGACATAGGCAGAGGGAAGAGGGCTTTTGTTACAGCTTACATATGAAGGGTCCCCCAAAGTCTCATGGGGTAAAGACCTCATTACGGTATTCATCCATTTGATGAATGAATGATTTATATGATTTCTTGGGTAGAACCTTTGGGAAGGAGGAGGTCACTGAGGTTGTGCCCTGGAGGGTGCTTCTTTACCCTGAGCCCTTCCTCATACCTTCCTTATCCCATGGCTGAGCAGCATTCATCCACCCAGACCTTCTGCCATGATACCTCTGTATTGGAGCCAGCTGATCATGGACTGAAACCATGACCCAGAGTAACTCTTTCCTCCTCTAAAGTGTTTTACCCCCAGGTTTTTTTCACAGTGACAAAAGGCAATTGACACTGCATCTGTACCTGTGTGTAAAGATTAATGTGCCCTGGCAAGGGTTATCAGAGCAGGATCAGGGTACATTCACGAGTGGGCATGAAGCTGTCTAATGGAGGGCAGGCCAATGTCAAAAGGTTGCTTTCAGTCAGAGGAATGTTGGTGGGAAACAATGCACCAGAGACAATCAGAGCCACGATTCTCACTGTAGGTGGAAGGGATCCCAAACAAAAAGGGACATCGTTAGAACAAACACAATTTTGACTGGAATCAGAAATATCAGAATAATCTCAGAATTGTATGTAGGAATAGATAGGAGTGTGCATGCAGATAGATCAGGAGATGATAGATGTTGAGGTCCATAGATGGGTTGACTGAGAGAGTTATTTACACATTCTCTTTAACCCAGGCACAATAGCCCTTGCTCCCAACATGCACTCAAATGCACAGACTTATTTGCCACTAAAGGAATCTTAGGATAAGAAACCCCTCCACCACCTTGAGTTGGGAACAAAATAAGTCCTTCAAAAATGATGAGACCCTGGCAAAAGTAAAGAGAAACTACCAGGAAGGAGCCTCTCACTGGCCAGGTCTGTATAACTTGAAAATCAAGATTTGTAATTATGCAAAGTAACCCATTAAACAAAAGATGTTCCATGAGTTCAGCTTGATACTGATTGTTTGATGAGGAATGGGATATCTATAAAGGATTGAGGAACTTTTCAACAATTTCATGTTAACTCTTTTTGAGCTGTATTGTTGGAGATGCATCATAGTGAGGACCTTGGGAATGCTAGGTAAGTGCTCTGCCACTTAGTAACACCCGCAGACTCATGCTCATTTCAAATAGACAAAGAAGAACTACAGGAGAGAAGTCTCAAATATTTCTTTAACCCAGGAATCAATGTGAACATCTGCAGTAGTGAGACAGATTGAAATCAGGCACCATCCACTAGG